CAGAGTACAATTTACTTTCTGCAAAAAGTAACAGTTCGTATTATTTTTTGCAAAGAAAAGGAGCGTACTGAGTTATAATGATCATTTTGATTGTCAAAAGCATTAAAGTATAATTTAAATTAAATCACTTTAATTAAAGCTTGCGATATTACAGGTGAAATTACAGCCACCGCCTTGGACGCGAAGGTGGGAGCTGTTCGATTATAAAGGAATCGAAGATTGCTGGACTGAGCAAACATCGTATTTTAAGAGAAAATTAAGCAAATCAAAGGTTACATCAGTTCTCTTTTCCTGCTGTTTTTACATAATCATTTCTTACTAGCAGATAGCAACTCTGCATTAACATTTGAAATGATCTTGATGAGTTGTTGTCAAAAAAACAAGTCTGCCGAATAAATATTACTTTTCGAACGGGAGAACAGTTTGAATATTCTCCCAACGATTTTTTGTGGAAAAAGTTTAACTCAGGTGGGCATTTTATTTCAGCTCACCGATCTTCGCAAATACGACCTTATCGCGGATTATCGCGAAGTCGCCACAAACGTCGATGAGGAATTGGCAATTGAACAGGAAATGTTAGATTTTGAGACAAAAAAGCTACAAGCTGGTGTAACGAAGAGAAAAATATTGCGCTGTGCTGAGCAGTCATTGTCTCAAGATGTGTAAATCTCCATTCCAAAAACTAGTGATTTGCTTATTAGCATGTTCATTTACTGCTTCAGTTAAGTGGTGAGGTTTTCTCCCATACTGTAATATTGGGAAAGTACTGCAGGAAAACTGGGCCCTGTCTTAGAACTGAGAATTTGTGTTGGAACTTTTTGTGAAGCTCGCAATGTTACTGGATGTATCCACTTGCCGAATTTTGCTGTTCATCTCTAGTTCATCTGTCCGCAGTTTGTACCTGCCTTTTGTACTTCGACGCGAGCAGATATAACTCACTCTCTTCCGGTGCTATAAAAATTATGTTTGTTATACGAAGGTGGGCGATTTTTTTGGTCGTTTCTGTTTTTGAAAAAAACCGTTGTTATACACAAGGATTTCAAAATCCAGGTATCATTCTTTCACCTGCGCAAGTAATCGTCGCTGACCCAAGTAAATAGCCAGAGTTGTTCCAAATAAAGAAAATTGGGTGAAAAATCCAAGTAACGAACGACTGTAAATGCAGTACTTGCACATTTAAGTGAAATTACTTGGATTTTTGGATGTCGCAGCTTGCGGCTAAAACAAACAAGCCAGACCCATTCAAATAATATTTCATTGCCGTTCAAGTAACAGCTGGCAGGAAGGAAGGGAAAGTGGAGTTTAGGACCGGAACGCGACCGTTGCATAGCGTCCGCACCCATTTCACCTAATAGCACTGCGTCTTGCGGGTGGTTTTTGTTTTGGAAAATTGCAGTTAGTGAAGAGGACAGCCCCTTCAAGACCAAAAAAGTTGCAAGAAAGAAAAAATTCAAATATTGTTTCATTGTAAAAATTCAGATGCAGATAATAAATCATTACCTGCATTTGACATAACGACAACAGTAAAAAACTGTAAACAAGCATATCGCTTGTTAAAACAAATAAATCAGCGCAGCTGCGCTACACGTGAACACTTCCCTCTCCCCTACAAGGTGTCGCGAATGCGAGGGAACAATGGTAATCGATGGTGGCAGTGTATTTGTCGCCCAGTAAGGTGGGCACGAATGTACTTTAGGGAGGTCAACAGTTGGTTGATTGCTCGCCTTTGCCATTGGGGGGAAGAAAGGGTTTGAAAGTAGCGGCGGACTTGGAGAGGAGCGGCCGACTTGAAAAGAAGCGGCGGATTCGAAAAGAAGCGGTGGGCTCGGAAAGGAGCGGCGGTCTTGGAGACTATTATTGGTTATTTTTGAGTGTTCGATTCAGATATATATTCTGTACTCGGTAATTTTTGCTACAAATTATTTCGAGTACACAGGATGGGTTGGACAAAATTCAACAATTATGCCCGGGAAAGGGCCCAGCCTCTCTCCGAAAAAACCGTGTAAAAACGACTGGAATCCTCAGTCGGGACCTCTCTCTTGATTTCATCGATAGCGACTTCGACTTTCTAACCACTGCCATCGACATCGACAGGACTTCGACTTGCGGGATTACTCTTATCGATAGCGACACGACTTCTTGGCCACTCTTGCCGACATCGACAGCGCCTTGCATTCCCACTTGGCTCCGCATTCCTGCGCGGCTTCGGATTCCTGCTTGGCTTCAGCTTCGTGCCACAACTGGAGTTTAGGGGGCAGGGAGCACAAAGGTACAGCCGGAATGGGGTAGGAGCAAGGGCAGAAAAACTTCAACTTACAAGTAACAAGCACTCAGCTGTACATGCACAGTGCTTTTTTTACTTATATAAAACCTGCCCATTGCAAGAGCATGTCGTTCCATCCTACCGGTCGTGAACGGAACGCTTCGCACCAGTGGTGGGGTGGAGCGACTTGTCCAAGTAACGGGCCTCTGACAGCAGACATTCTATACAGCTCGGCACCGTGAATATCTGAGTACGCGTTACTTGCATTTTGAATTTCTTGTGTATATTCATAGTGTGCTACCGAATGGTCTGTTTTAGGGTAGTTTCCCGCTGGTCCGTTTGAGTTCAAATCAAATTTTCATTCGCCAAAGAGGGCAAATACCATATGTCCACGCTGGATTGCTTAACTGGAAATGACAATGGTGTCTGTCTAGTTAGTAACTCATCATTCATTTGTTTACATTGTTGCGCCGAAGATGATATTCATTGTGACCAGTGTTTTTTTTCAATCTGTGATATATGGTTGATTTTTGGATGCAGTAGAAAATATGTGAAATATTAATAATTGGCCAACGCACGGGCTGCCCGTGCGAAGATGCGTTTTTTGCATGGTTCCCCGCAGTTTTTATTGCTACTGGCACCGGTTTTTTCGACAAATGCTTCTAGCTAAACAAACTAAAACTGGCCGCCAGAACTGTCAGGAAACATCCCCTTAAAATTTCAGCTTTCTAGCTTCCGTGGC